TGTGTTGCTCATGAGTCCTGTGTTTTAGGGGTGATCTGTGTTGCTCATGAGTCCTGTGTTTGGGGGTGATTATAGTTCTGCTCACAAGCCCTGTTTTGCGGGTGCTGCTGCGGTACCTTGAGCTCATCGAAGCTGAGTGTGAAGTGAAGGATCTCGGCGAACTGCTTGGCCAGGGCCTGCTCTCGCTCCAGGTGCTGCATGGGCGCGTAAGGTGGGCTCGTCAGCGCCTCCAACAGGCTGCGCAGGGCATTCTCTGAAAAAAGAGCACCCCACCCAGCTTGTAAGTGTGGGTTTCAATAAGGCACAATTGTTGAACTGTGGTTTGCTCTAATCTGACTCTTGTAAAGTGCATTGAGGTGGCTCCCAGTGTAAAATAAGACACCAAAAGAAAAGAAAAATCAAAAATTAAATACATTTTTGGGTGGCAAGGTCGCTAGTGCTGTTCCCTCACAGCTCTTGGGTCATTAATTTGTGTAGTTTGTGTAAATAAAACCTTGCACAATTTTGTTTAGTAAAACTTGCTTTCTAATCATTTTCAACCTTTTTTCTCCAAGGGTTCTCACACTAAGGGTTATCCTCAACAATGTTGTGTCTGTTATCAGTTACTTCATATGGGAACGCTGTTTCATCAATCCCGGAATAAAGAACCACGAATTATACGGCATTCTGTCTGGATAATTATAGGCTAGTAATTAGAAGACTAATAACGAAGGAGTGTCATTATTCTTGCACTAACAAATGCATGTCATGCACATGTTTATACTTTCACAGTCCCTTTTTTCTTGGCACAGTCCCGTATTTAAGGTCTCCTTAAAATAGCATTCTAACTTCTAGATGAAGAACAAATCTTTCCTAAAATATTAAGGTATCCTACCATACATTTCTAAATCTTCTATTTTGATTTCCATGATTGCATCTTCTCATTTTTTCTTTCATATCGGGAGGACTGGGCATATGGAGGACTGCTATGAGAGAGTTCGCTGTGATATTCTTCATTGGGCCAGGTGGGAATCCCCTCTCCAGCTGTTTTGTAGAAAAGTATGTGGCTGATCTTTTCACATGGAAGTGTAGCGCCAGCAACCTGATTCCTTGTGACAATCAGGGTACCAAGCTGGCTAAAAAAATATTCAGAAAGTAGGCATCTGGTGTTTTTCTTCCTCTACGATGGGTGCCTATTTTATCGCCAGCATTCAGCATGCCCATTAGGAAGTAATCGGTTCTCCCTGGGTAGCACAGCATGGCAGGTATAGGTGTGACAGAAGGACACGAGCAGGTATCATCATTATTCCGAACTCCACTGGGCCCTGGAGGGGGAGCAGCCATGTGCCACATCTGAGAACAGCAGCTCAGCTGTCGCCATGGGAACGGTGCAGCGAGGGCTGATGAGCAGAGAGGCCGGGCCCAGCAGCTCCTTACAGAGGACATACCCAGCCGGAGAGAGAACTCGTAGAAGCGCTTCAGCTTCGCCACAAGGGGGCAGACTGCATTCCAAGCCTTCTCCTGGAGCTGGAGGTCATTGGGATTTTGTATGGCCTGTGAATGAGCAGTGCAGCGAATGAGTGTCATTGATGCAGCATGACAATACGAGGCTGAACCTGTCTAAATTCAACACGACTCAGCACTTGAACAAGAAACACAATGAGCTTCACAATGCCATTTCAAAGAAGACTCCAGCTCCAGGTTATCCCATTAACCCACAGTGCGTTGTGCCCAACTAACACAGCTTTTTAAAAATATTTTCAAATGCCAGCTAAGAAGACTTGGTCCTAAAATGAATCTTTTTTTTTTTTTTGGAGCAGCCAAGGACCAAAACTACAACTTCGATAAACGTTTCAGCACACCATCAAACTGCCATTTAGATGACATTTCAAAGCACATCCTTTAGAGCAGCGCAATGTCTAAGACACTGTTAGAAAAAGCTTCCAAAATATATCCTTGAGGTCTTGTGGGGTTTTTATCTGTTACAGGGATACTTCTATCTCAGCAGATGCTCAATGCAGATCTAATCTCTCCCAGTGATTACTGGTCCCCTTATTCAGTGTTAACAGTCTGCTGTTTAACAGTTCAGAAAGGAACAGCTCAGCGGTGGCAGGGGAGCTCTCACCTCTCTTATCTCCTGTCCCGCTCCGTTGTACGACTGCAGCTCTGCCAGTATCCCATGAGCCTCCTCCAGCACCGCGCTCACCTGGTTCCACACGGCGGTCTCCGCCTCGGTGGGCTGGGCGTCTGCAAGGACGGGAGTGGGGATGAGGGCAGGTGAGTGGGAGGTGGTACCTGAACAATCCCAGCAGTGGGAGTGAGCTGAAGGCCTTTTTGGATTTTTGTAAGGATGGGACGACCCCTGCAGCTGGGTGGTGACCGAAAGGCAGAGAACTGGGAAGTATTGGGAAGGCAGAGAGGACCATGGGCGTCTGAAACTCTGCCATTATTATACAGGCGACTGCAGTGGGGAATATGTTGTCGGTTGAGCTCAGATCAGCTTTTCTCATACAGATTCACTGCAATGGAATTGCAAATATGAAGCAAGATTGGTCCAGAGATGCAGGGGGAATTTCTCTGCTTCTTCAAAATGGAGCATGTCCTCTACTGGAAAGACACACCAGCCTGCAAGACTGGGGGGTGTGTGCTGTATGGGATATGCATGCCAGCTGCATGGTAGATTGTGTCTTTAGACTCTCCCAGTCTAGTCAGACAAGAACACACAGCTGTTGGACTGGGTGCCTTGAGCCTCCTTCTATTAACACAATCAGTCGTGCCCAAACGTGTCAGAAGGAGACGAATGTGAGAAAAGTCACACTTAACTCCCACACCAACACTGTGCTTGGACAACTGGAGAGCGTGATCCTGCATTTCTGACACTCAGTTCTGTCTGTGAGTCTCGCATGACATGAATGAGATGTGGACTCATAGACCTCTATACTTGTGGACTCAACAGATACAGGAAAGGCAGAAGATTTAGTGGTAGAAGTAGTAGAAAACTACTCATCTGCGTAATAGGCTCCCAGTGTGACTGAACTGATGTTCATTGAGAGTGTTGTATAAAGTAATTTATTGATGATTTTTAACTTTGATTGGAGTTTCCCTTTGTGTGATGTATCAGTTAGGGGGTGCATGATTGTAGAGCAATGTTCCAGCATTAGTCCTGATTACTCTGGGCCTATTAATGCAAATTAATAAATCATTAAGTCTTCGCTCCTGACGGGCTGTTGTTTAGCCAGCTGAGCAAGCAGAGATCTCTCTAGACTGTGTGCTGTGCACAGTCAATTAGTCAACAATTAATGAATTAATGCAGCCCAGCCATAACAGTGCTTTCCTTGTGCCTTGGCAGTTCCTGAAACACTAGCCAGGCCCCTGGACTCCTGCGATAACCAGGAAGGGTTGACGAGGTAGATTCTCCGAAACCGGGAATGGATAACCCCGAGGAGTGAAACGGGCTAAACCGGCTTGTCTTCCTGTTTTTTTAACAGGTTGCTGCCTGTTTTCAACTGACTCTACTGGAAAAAAAAAACGACTGAAAGACAGGAAAATGTTTTGCATAAAAGACGTTCAGTCCTCTTTCCCATCTTCTGACCTGGATTATATTCAGCAAAGCAGTGTCTGATGTTTTTAACTACTTTGGGAGCTACCTTTTGGGAGTCCTGGGAAGAGAGTTATTTCTCCGTCTATTTGCCTTTCCTGTCTCTCCTCACTCCAGCTCTCTCTGAAGGCTCTTACTTGATTGGATTTGGTTATTCTGCCAACTTGCATTCCCCTTAGACTGTTTCTGGGGGGGGTTGTGATTTCGATTGCCGTGATCTCCACTACGTGGACTTTCCCACAGAACTACTCATCTCCCACGGACCCTGCAGATCCTGCTGCAGATCAGCCCGTCTCTGCTGGTCCCAGGCTCCCCGAGATGAACTGGCAGTGCTCAGCAATCTCAGTCTTAGTACTGGGGCGCAGGCCAGTCCACCAGGAAAATAAAAATGTGGGCGAATTAACTGCGCTTATTACTTTAAAATTGTTAGGCCATATTTTTAGCATTTGTCATTTGTGCATGTGGTTTACTGGGAAGACGTGTGAGTAAATAAGTAAAACACTGAAGTTCTATTTACTAATGCAGTCGGGTCTTCACACCCCTGTGGGCAACGGGACAGCCTGTTTTATCTTGGTGTCACTCAGGTCTCCGCCAGCCTATCCCGGGTGGGAGGAGGGCTCTTGGAGTCCTCAGCTGGGAAGTTTGGTGCCTTCTGGGCCTGGCTGGCACACTGGGGACCTCATCTGGAGTCTAAACAGTGTGTTAACCTGAGCGTGAGAGGCTGTGTGGGAGGAGACAGCTGTCCTGCACAGCATGGTGATGACACAAGAGCAGTCAGCAAACCAGGGGAAGCATCGCCCAATAGTGAAGAACTGAAAACCACTGTGAAGGGTTCCGAAAGGAGAAAGGTTAGCAGATTAGGCGAGAGTGACAGAAACACAGTAGTGTGGTTTAAGACAAGGAAAATCAGAATAATTACTCAGAGATAGTAGCAGCAATGTTATTTCAAACCAGTGGCTCCAGAATTCAAAAGCTTCTCTAGCACAAACACAGAAAAAAAAATGCATGACAAGCAAAAGAGCAGAAACTATGAGCAGTCTGCAAAGAATTAAAAATATAGCTCTAGCGCCATGATGGTTAGAATTTTAACAAACCCCTTCGCAGCATGAAAAACAGCAATTGCACAGCAAAAAACAGGCATGTCATTCAAAAATGAATGAGGAAAAAAAAAACTTCACACCTGGAAATAAGTGTCAGGATTTCGTGCCACAGAGTTTGCTTGAATATAAAAATGCCATATTGAGAGCAGATATGGTCTCGGGCCCTATGGAGCCCATGGCTGTAGGAATGGAAAACTGTGTTGATCGCTCCAGGCGGGAAGGCTGACACTTATCTACAAGGGTGTTGAGCTGTGTCATCCAGCGCATTTATCCCAGCTGTGAGTTTGCATCAGATTTTCATTTTGAGACGATTCAGTAATGATGCTTTGCATGCCAGAAATGAAACATAGGAGTCACCTTCATCGTCCACTCAACACTCTTCAGTGGGATTCAGACTGTGGCAGTAAAATTTACCAACACTGTTGTTCGTAATTCTTAGACAGCTCCTACACAGGCTGGACTTACTGTATCCATATGCTGAGAGAATCAACAGTTTACTCAGAGCCAGCTATTATAAAAACTGGCTGTTAGCTTACAAATGGCTGAAAGAATTGGGTTTCTGTATATAGAAGAAAAAAAATCAATAAAAAAGAAGTATATACATGTCTTATAAGACATGTGCCCAGTAATGTACATCTATAATTACATCAGTGTTATATTCTATTACTATACAATTAGATAAATTATACAATAATGCAATTCTAAGGATAAAGATACTCAAACGTGTTTATAATGTACACATACAAGTGATGTCGAGTGACCTCCACATCTTTCTTCAGAAGCAATAAATAGTGCAATACTTAGATCATTTTTAAATTTGAAAAGAAAATATGATTCCTCTGGACATGATAAATATTCCGATAATGGAGGCAAAAAAACGTTCAAGTTCAGGGTGAAAATCTGGTGCAAAGTGGAGACTAAATGCTTCTGAAATGCTGGATCAAAACGAACCAAAAGAAAAAAAAAGAAAAAATAAGAAGCCAATGGTCTCACGTTCAAAGTCAAGGAAAAATATTTGGCCATGCTCAAGTTCGGTGCAAGCCAGCACTTTCAGGAGATTCCCCATGAGCGCCCTGGAACAGAAGAAGGAGAAGCGTGTGGGTGATGGAATGGGCGTGTGGGCGGGGCGGATGGCAGGGGTGGCTGTGGCAGCGGGCCGGGGGGCCGGGGCGCGCCCTGGATGATGCAGACGGAGCGACACAGACACACAGACGCTCTCCCTCTCCCCTCTCTCGGCGTCCCACGAGCCTCTCCGTCCCGGTGCCCTCCCAGGCAAAGCCACCACAGAGCCAGGGTCGGGGGGAGCGGGGGCGGGCGTTGGCGTGGTATTCTCACACAGCAGCCCCCCCAGGTGAGGACAGACGCCCCAGCGGGTGCTCCTCGCCTGCAGGAGACGAGGGCTGGGTAATGAGGGGGCGAGGCTGGACACGAAGTCAGAGTGGACCAACCAAGGTGTGCGGAGAACTGGGACGAACGCCGGGTCATAACAAAATCCGTGTGGCTTTGATCAAGGCCTGTGTAGTGGGCAGAACCATTTTACAGGCACAGATCTACATGGGCCACAGCTGGGGCTAGGAAGAACTTTAAAATTCTGAATTTGTCTCAAATCATGTTCTTGAATGGATATATATACACCTGAGACTGAGCAAACGTGCCCTTGATTTGTGTGGAGAGTAGAGTCTGCTCTGCTAGAGATTCTGTAGAGGTCCAGGGTGGAGAGGGATGGGATGGGTTCGAGAAGGACAGGAGAGCGTCTGAAGAACCGCACCACAACATCAACACCCCCCTCCCACCCTCACACTGCACAGTCCTCTGCCCCACCCCCCTCACACACAGACTTACTTTCGAAGTCCAGGAAAAAATGTGGACAGTTCTCTAAATCCTTGCCAAGGACCTTAATGAGGTTCCCCATGACCAGCACACCTGGGCAGGAGAAACAACAGACACATACAGTACACCACCAGAGCACATGGCCCCACAGCAGACCTGGCCTCTCCCCTGCTGCGTGGGAGCTGCCAGTGTTGGCCACGCTGGCACAGTCAGCTCTGAGTGCTACTTTATAATACCTGGAAATACCTTTTAAAAGAGAGCTTTAAACGAGCCACAGCCAACAACGTTTTGGTTTTCAAACTTCATGGAGTCAGGATATTTGCAAGCTCTAAAATGAATGACTTTGGGAGGACTGCTGCTCCTCTAAAATGGCAAAACCGAAAAGACAGTTTGGTAGATCACAGGACAAGAGAAGACAGTTGCTCTCCTCAAGCAGTGCCCTAAGAATCCCTCCCTTCAACATTCGTCAGGGTGGATGATCATTATTCAGCTTAAGCTGCACCACTCATATAAATGCTCACTGTGTTAAATTTAAACAGTACATTCACAGTTTGTGCTTTTTCTCACAAATTTACACTCCATGTTTGTTTTCTCATGATTTGTCTTGGTGCTTTACTCTGTTTTTCTCTGTTCCCTGCTGCTCCTCTAATGGATTCCACCATGATGTCAGTGTCCTGTGTATTTACCGGGGTACAGCGCACGACACTGGCACGAGGGAAGTGTGTTGTTCTTATCAGAGACCTTAAAGACAGAGGTGACAGCAGCGCGGCGTTCACCTGCTGGTGCTGGGGCTGCTGACACAAGAAACGGCCCTGGAGCAGAGTCCCTGACCAGGGAGGGGAAAGGAATGAGGCTGGAAATGAGCGACGCAAGGCGGGAGGCAGAGAGAGGGGCAGGGGGACATGAGCCTGCCGCTGGGGGGAACGCTGAGCGCCTCTGCGGTTCAGCAGGACATGAGAATGCAGCACAGAGAGGCAATGCAAGGGTCTGAGCTCTGCGGCCTTGTCAAACAGCAGCCAGTCTCAGGAAAGAGAGGGCCTTTTGAATCCTGGTGATGTGTGGGCTCAGCAGTGGAGGGTCTCGATAACAGGGACTCTAAAAGCAGGGGAAAGAAAGGGGAGTGCTTTGAATTGAGCTGTGAATAGCTGCCTTATGTCTAATAGAGAGCTTGTGACAAGCAGCCTTAGTTAGGTTACAGGAGGCTGCGGGCTCTCTCCGGCTCTTTTGTGGAGCAGGGCAATTCGGTACAAGTCATTCCAGAAGTGAACGCCGTGCCAGGGAGAGCAGAGCTCACATCTGAAGTGAGCGTGCAGGCAGAACGCCTTTGCAGAAATGAATAAGGGATGTTTGTGCTCTAGTGTGACAGGGGTACCGTGAGTCTGTCCCCTGTCCTTCTGTAATGAAAGTGGCTCTGGCTCTACAGGAAATTCAGATTGAGAGCTATGTCATGTTCTTACATTAACAGAGTAAAACATTATTTACCAATTAAACTTCTTTTATGTTTATGGAACACTTATCCGTCAAAGCCAGTGGTAGTCATCCCAAATTAGCCAAGTTAGGGTAAAGGGTGCCGATGACTTGTATGTGCAACTGTACATAGTTAACACATCTTGGGTGGTGTTGGGAAATGAGATCTTTTTTGGGGCTGTGAGATAGGAAACCATTCTTTGAGCATAATTTATCTACTAAGCATAAGGTATATTATACAAACTCCAAAATAAAAGATCACTGCAATACAAAGAGTGGGGTTCTCAAATAAAATGTTGCTGACAAATTTATGTTTTTGTCAATAACAGCCTGCAAAGACAGGCTTAGCTCCAGTCATTTCACATACAACATGTAGGAGTAATTCACTGACTTACTCAGAGTTAATAGAATGCTTTAAACACATTCATACAGCTCTGCCCCTGGGCCCACTGAAGTCCGGGGCAATGGATGACAACCCAGTAAGACACAGAAGAACTCAGACATGCAGTCAGTCTTGAGACTCTGCAATATGTGTTCTTTCTAAAATTTAATAATTTAATTTGTTAAAAATTAGATGTAACTTGTTTGAGGTACTGATGGCTAATATGTAAATCCATATACAGCACTGCAGCGCTTGAAGCTGTATTATAACTCCGTGTGCAGCTGTTGCATGCAGCGCAGAAGGACAGCCTGAAGAATATAGGCGCGCGACGAGGTCGACGCATGACTCAGCCCAGTTAAACACAGAGAAGAACCCACTTAACAGCCACCCAGCCCCACAACCAACAAAATCCCCCCACGCCTGAAGAAAACCCTCTGGCAGAAAGTGTGAGGGGTAGCCCTTTCACTTTCACTGCGCACACAGGACGTGAGGCTGAGGAAGGCCATTTCAAGTGGGAGGTAGAGAAACTAGAAAGTGCCTTCCATTTCCTTCTGGGTACGTAAGACCGTGAGATTGGGCCGCGTTAGTCAGGAAAAGGCACTTTGGCTCTCTTTAACTGTGAGATTTCAAATCTGTCACATTCAAATTCATGCACAATTAGCCCAAAGGCACCAAACGCAGTCCTAGCAGTGACCCTCAGGTCCAGCAAACAGAATACATGCCTCAGTGTTTTCTGCGTCAAAACTCCAAAACTGGGGCAACTGCACTTGGCCTGGTTTCACGTGTGATAACTCAGCCAAATCACCATTATCTGCTGAGCCAGTGTTGACCATAAGTCGGTTTGGCTCTGGGCAACCGAAAGGAGAGCTTTTGCTGCTCGACACAGCGCAGGCCTGGTGCCCCTTCGGAGAGCTCTAAACGACCGTTTGAGTTCCAGCGTCTGAAATGCAAGCACGCTTTCTTCATTAATGCCCCATCTGTCGAGCGCCTCCGAAGGCCTCAGCCGTTCTGAGCCGATGGAGATGATTCACTCTGTGAGAGGGGAGGGGTGGAGGGGGAGTTCCCACGCTAAGCGCCGAACCCCCCCAGAGCTGCGGAGCCAGGTCAGCGCACGGCGAGGTGAGAGGGGAAGCCCTGAGCTCTCCCCGGTCACACCAACGTCCCAGCCCTCAGCCCACAGCGGCGGGGCAGCTCCTGGGAGAAGCGCTGCTGTTCTCAGCACCACCCGCACAATTAAAACCACCAGGAGCACCAGAGTGGTGAACTCCCACCAAAATCAATTCAGAGAGACACTTAAACCTTTTTCTCTTTTACCGTTTGAGCCTGAGAGCAAGAGCACTCCTCCAAACGCTCTTCCTTTGTCTCGGTTTGCGTCACTTACTCTCCTCTCTGGCCCTTCTCCTTCCTTGTCCTTCTGTCCTCTCCCCCCTCCGCGATTCCCCTTTCCCGGTGAATCCCAGCGAGTGTCCGAAGGTGCCGCTGGCAGTGTCTGGGGAGCGAGTACCAGGCGCAAGAGGCACTGAAGGTCTCTGTGAGAGCTGGCTGGGTGCTGAGCTCTCAGCGCAGACCAAAGCCCCACTCGCAACAATCCTTCGCACTTCTCTTTTTCTGGCAACTATTTTTAAAAGGGCTAGCTGCTAGCACAAGCTCTTTTTTCTGTGCTGTAAATGAAAGGAGGGGTGTGGGTGGTTGCCTAGTGGACCGTGTGCACCCGATTTTAGATGTGGCTTCCTGTGTTCAGTTCTGAATCATTTATTTCACATCAAAATACGTCACCTTCAAGTTCCTCAAAACTACAAGCAGCAGTTCTCTCTTTTCCTTAAAGGACAAATAACGAGCGTGCATGTGCATTTGAAATTGTGGCTCCGCTGTGTTCCACTTCTGGTAAGTCAGACACGTTTCTGGTGTGCGGCGTGGGAGGCTACACTGGCTACCCGTTGGAGAATTAGCTGTCCGAAAAAGGGACAGCTCCAAATTAACCTCCACTTTCTGGACCCCGCAGCGAAAAGAGGTCCCGTGCCTCGCTGAGACACACCGAAAACCACCGGCAGCAAGAAAGAAGGAAGTGAAGAAGGAGGACAGAGGACATTTTTTTACACTAAGGCCTGTTCCCTCCCCGAAATTAGTTTTGCACAATACTTGTGCTCTTAAAAACTCAGCACACGTTGTCATGACCCCGCAGGGGAAATTAAAACTTGATTATGGGTCAGGATGCATCACTGGAATGCTACAGGCACACTGAGCCATACCGCGTTGGCAAGTTTGTTTGTGTCTTGGCTCTGATTGCTCTCAACTCTTTCTCTAGCCCTTGATCCTAACAGAACCATGACTCTGATGTTTTCAGTTTCTTCCACGTCTGAATTTCCTATAGAGGGAAGGGGAGGCTGCAGGGGTTTAGCTACCTTGCTCGTGATATTCTGAACGATCGCTTCACTGCATCAACCGGGGCTGTCTGTGCTGAGTCAGTCACTGCATCAGCTCTGCACAACCTGTAGCCAGCAGGGAGAAAAAGACAGGGAGAAACATGAGACTAAAAATAGAGCGAGAAAATTCAAACGTTACCTTTCTTTGCCTGCACTGCTGTCAGTGTCCTTGCTTGAAGGAGAATGCATATTCCTGGGTGAGCCCCTAAGTCACTGCACCAACCAGACAGGAACAGAAGCCATTCTTCAAGCTTTAAGATTTGTAGAGCGTATTAAAGCATGATCTATAAGCTAGTGCAAACGGGTGTTTTTGCATTGTGTTTCTAAAGGCTTTGATTTCATAGATACCTTTACATAAAGTATATATTGGAACAAAGACCTTTTGCAACAGCAGTTCCAGAGCTGCCACTGCTGCATTCCATATGTCTTTCACAAGGGGAGGTCAGGCCAGTCCATGGATCTGAACATGAGCTCTGATCCAGGAAATACTGCAAAGAGAGGTTTCCTGTTTTCCTCTGTCCTGATCTGTAAAGAGGCACCAAAATGTTCTTTTGTGTTTTTTAGACCCAGGATGCCTTCAGAGTTCACAGATGCACACATGCATTGAGCTTGCTCACCAATTTATTGAGGCCGGTGAATATTGTTTGTTAAAATTACACTTGAGTGTCATTGTAAAAAATGCAGTCTAGCTTTGTCAAGTAATGGTTCAGATTTTCCAGTAAAGTAACTAATTACGCTGGGGGTGCCAGTACAGGGCCTATGTCGCTCATGAATGTCTTGTCATGCTTGCTGACCTGAGATACTCCTTCCTTCAGCTGCCCCTCTCCAGACCTGCCTCCTGCCTCTCCGTTTTCACTCCCGGATATCCAAAGCACGTTTCACCCACTCCCAGATCCCCGCCACCATGTTGTCTAGTCCTCCGGCCGTGTCCAGGGATCCACGGGGAGAGTGTGGGAAGACTCAGATTCTACCGGGAAGTGCGCTGCAGTTCTGGCTACCTTGCTAACGGACAGGGACAGGGGATGGGCACCGACATCCCTTCAAAATGCAGCCCTACCGTCTAGATTCCGGGAAGCCAGGGATTGGTTTCAGCAGATATTTCAAAGCCAGGCCACAAGCTGTTTCAACACAAGCCCCCCTGGTACCCGATAAGGCCATGAATCTTCTCCCACCAAAGCTGGAATCAGTGCCACACGTGGAATTGATGAACAGCGCATCCGACCCCTTTCAATAAACCCCGTCCCTGGTACATCCAAGCCAGCAGACGCACAGAGAAACTGGAGTGATCCAGATGTGCAGGTCGCAGAACAACCTGCACTGCAGTCTGGTTTTTACTGACATCCTCCCAGCCGGGTGGGAATGATCGCACAGTCAGAATGATCCGAGGTTGTTAAGCAACATACATTTTTGTATTTGTTTTTCGAAAACCCGAGGAACTTGTTTTTTTTTACGAACCAGGGAGGTTTTGCTGCCTAAAAAAAGGGATTCATTTTCAGTTTTGCTGATTTCACTGATCAGAACAGAGGAACTGTTGTATTCTTCTGAAACACTTTCATATTCTCATGAAATTCTTGTTAGATACACAACAATCCTCAGGACATTTTCTCATGGTGATTATCCATGGAATTTTTCCAGTTATCACAACACTCTGTGCTTTTACCTTGACTTTATGTTTTGTTCCTACATTTTACAATGATTTTACCATAGTATACCAGTGTAAACAATTATAAAAGAAAGTGCTTCCAGCTCTGTTTTTACTCAGCTGGCGGGTTTCTGATCCTTCGCGTTCCAAATCTCGGTCAACCAGAACAAAGGCGCAATTTGAGATGTGGTAATTGGCTCAGATATTCTCCACCTGCCTCTCGCACACACAGACGTTGCCAGTGCCAGGCCTGTGATAAGATTTGATAATCCTTTTAATTGCAAATGCAGGCAGGCAAGACGGCATTTAAAGACTGATGAGGCCAAAGCCCGGTTAAGAAGTAGCATTTGCAGGGCTGATAAAGCGAGTGAAAGCCAGCTGTGGATTCAGCTGGGACAAAAGGGCTCAGCTTTGATTTTTAAAATTGCAGAAGAAGCTGAGATCTCATCACAGCAGAAATCCTGCCTGACAAAACCTCTGCTCCCGACACTTTTATTCCAAACTGAGGTTCTGCGAAATCGCTCCCTTGACTCATTCCTCCCCCAATCTGTTTCTATTGTGATACTTGGTAATGACGTTACAGTGCGTCATTTTAATGTAAATTTCTTAGTGCAGTGGGTTCGGGTTTGCCTTTTTTGAAACACGACAAGTCTGCTATTTTTATCCTAAAAGCTCTGCTGCCCATCTCATTATCGGATGAGATCTCTCCTTTTCTGTAGTTTGGAAATATGTGGAGCTCAGCCGTCACACTCGATGAAGAGCAGGTGGTTTCAATTGGTCCTTCTTTCCCCAGAAAGCTCCCTCTGTCTAAGCCAAAAAGCATGATTTTTCGGTCCAGGCGTTCGCTGGGAGACAGGCCCACACACCCAAGCTCCTATAGCTCTTCTGTTCCTTCTGCTTTGATTATGCAGCACAGAGGCAAAGGTTTCTTTGTATTCTGAAATGCTATGTGTTGCTCGCCTCCCACTCCACTGACCAAGCCTCATGGGATCCTCAAGACCTGCAGAAGATTTGCCCAGACCCTTTCCAGGAAGAGTGGGTCCTCATCACGGTCCATGGTTTCCAAGCTGGTGGGCTCATTCAGACGTGCACTTGTGTCTTCCACCCCGGATGACACTTGTGCTTCCCTGCTCGCTGCCTGGGTCCAAGCGTAGAGTCGGCTGAGTGGGTCTCACAGTAGCACTGTGGCCTGAGAAGCCACAGAGACACAGAGCCTGCCTTGAGGAGGAGTCCCTGAGGGCCACAGTTCTTCAGATCTCCAGCACCATGACTAGAGCAGGGTAGTGTTTAACACAAATGCTGAGAATTCATGGTAAAATAATGAGGAATACAGTACAACACGATGCAACAAACCATGGATTTAAAGTAAAAGGAAGGAACTGTGAATACACGGAACAAAGTCATCCGGTACAGTTCCCTGAGGGAAAATGAAATTGGATCTTGTGAGTAAAGTTAGAGCTAATGTCCTGTGGACCTTGAAGAGAGTGCCGGTCACCTCTGGACTATGGTGCCCTCCACAATGAAAGAAGCTTCTCGAAACATCAGCTTTTAAATTAGGGACATACTGGATAGTGTTGCGTTAAATAAACCCCCCCAAAAATAGACGACGATTTTAGGAAACCACTGTGTCTGAACATCCTCATTTAAATCTACCAGAGCCAGTCTGAGCTGTACTGCAGGGCAGCATTAGTGAGATATCAGTCCACCTCTTTCATCCTAAGGGTATTTATAACACACATGAAAATGGGAGGTTATTTGTTAAGGAAAACACAAAAAGAGCGTAAAACAAACAACAAGTTTCATTCTAGGACAGTTTAGCCCAATTTGGGCAGAGCCTTTTATAGCAATGCAGTAAGAAATTTTGTAACTCACACCCCATTACTCAACATAAAGGCACATATGCATTCAAACAATTCCTCTGAGTGACACGTACAGAAGAATGATACCATGCACGTGTGGTCATTCATGAACATATATGGCCCACACCTGGATAACATTACTTCTGAAGAACAAAGGTCATGGAAGATAACACACAAGCTGCAAGATGTCTGCGGGACAGGAAATGGCAGGACAGACGAAGGCTTATAGACCAGGTCATTTTGTTTACGTTGTTTCGTGATGTACTATCAATATAATACATCCCCCCTCTTTCTGAAAGGGTGTACTTCTAAAGCAGGCTGGTGTGTCATGGAGCTATCCTGAAAAAATCAATTTCTCTGTGCAGAAAAGGCCAGAAGAAGAGAGCGAATAACACCGCTCATCCAGCAGAGAACAAAGTGGAATTGGGGGGGGGTCTTTGTTGTCTGTCTGTGGCACTTTACTCAGATTAATTCTGGTCAGCGAACAAGATTTTTTTCCGAGAGAGAGCAGCTCTGATTTTTTCCTGTAATTTGCCCTTCGACACAGACTGCCATCCCGGCGAGCGCCCGTCTATCGGGAGTGTTCCCGGGAGGCGGCGTGGCATGCCGGCCAGGGAGCCCGGCTCTGATGTGCGTGTGGCTTGGCAGTGTCGAGGCCAGCGTCGTGGACGCACTGTGCCTCCACTCCAGAACCTGCTGGTTAAACAAGCGATGACACGGTGCCGGCAAGAGCTAAGAGCTCAAGCCACTGGCCCTGGCAAGCAAGCTCCTGAGATAGTCAGCGTTACAAACGATTGCGTAGCAGAAATGTGTGGTTTGAACCCATGGGTGGGATGGGTTTGAAAATGGAAGGCACGGACTAATCCGTGTGGGTGTTCCTGAAGCAGCCACTAGTTTTCATGACCCCTCACGGCCTTTTCTCCTCCTGGACCACACATTCACGCAGTAAGCGATTTGTTGCAATATACTCCCCAAAACAACCACTGTCTCAACCACTGGAGGTCTGATGGCCTGTTTCAATCATACAGTCGGTCGTTCGTTTTGTTACGGCAGAATTACATTCTTATTACACGAACACACATGCTCGCAGCCTCTCTGGGCCGCAACAAAAACCAGCCCAATGGTTTAGGCACAGAAACAGAAGAGAGGCGACTCATCTCCCTTTCCAATCAGAGGCGTTGGTGTTGGAACGGC